TGAATTGAAATAAGATAAAAGTATCCTACTTACTTATAATAATAAAAAGGAATGCAAATTTGTAGTGCTATACTACAAATTTTCTATTTGACTTTGGTGAGTTCCTTGGTACATCTTCGGAGTCAAAGTTATAGTTATAATATTTACTAAATTAGACAATATCGGAGCCAAAACAAACAATGCATAAAATCTTTTAAAATTATTTTATCGAAGTGGGTTGCAAAGCGACCAACGGCAAGCGGCAAACGAGTAGGAGGTTCACCTGATGGTAAGTGATTATCTCCGCCCATGGACACCTGTAATACCAGAGGGCTAACAAATGCGTTGCCGGCCTTTTAGGAAGGAGTATGTTCTCTTCTTGAAGGTTCCCAGGTCGTAACGGTTCAGAAAGATCGCCGGCGGCAGCTGATTCCAAAGAGTGGTGCGAGGTAGGAAATGCCTTGAAAATCGCGTTGTTATGGAACGCTGGACATCGCAGATGAAATTTTTGGTTTTGAAGCGATGCCGTAATTCAGCCGCCGGGATCAATCCAAACAATTCCTTGGAACACTCCCCGTGATATATGCGGTATAAGATGCAGAGTGATGCAACATCTCTACGCAGAGCCAAAGAATCAAGCTGATCAGAAGTCGTCGATAACCCTAGCTGCCCTATGTTGGAATACGTTTAAATAAGCCGTTATCTTTCTCTTTTATTGCATTTAATGTCCTTTCACAAACAAAGAGATTTGGCACAGGGGATAAACTTTTTATTGTTTTTCTGTTACTATAAAGTAGTATGTATAACTTTTTTCATGTGTACATAAGTACATACATACTTATTTTATTTGATAGTTATAAAAGCGAAAGATTAAGCGGGTCACTCGATCCAGAATCGCTCACCGCCACCCTTGAACACTAACACAACCATGAATACAACAAAAGTCACCAACCCTTGAAGTAGAAGCTCTCTATTGAAGGTCCCTAATTCGTACCGGTTAGGTTATACAAATAAGTCTGTACAGTTGTGAGTCAGAGCTGTTGTAATACAAATAAGTCTGTCAGGGCCAATATGATAAAAAATTGTTGAAACCCGTTAAGTATACGTATTTTACCATTATGTTTAGGAGATGCAGAAGCTTAGTCCCTGGTAGCCATTACTTATGCATAATCGAAAATTAGTGGCGTTTTTAGGAGGCGCCTACTTAGAAGATACTTACTTATTTTAACCCTTTTCTTTTCAAATCATTTACGAAAAAAAATTATGTTGCACATCAAATATAATTAACATTATAGAGCCATGATAATTGATAGAGACCAGTGTTCGGTCACTAGCTTTTAATTCAATATAATTGGGCAACGTAAGTTCAAATCACGGTGCCGGCACCAATGAGATTTTACATTTTAAAAATCATGAGGAAACCTGCATTTTCGAAACAATAACAAAAAATATTGACTTCTTGATTTTACGCGAATATTATACATATTGTACAGTGAGTCTGTCCCGGTTTGGTCCAAAGGTCTTTCGTCCATAATCTGTCGTTTAGTTCATACGCTTCTTACCCTTTTGTTTCCCAAATTTAGTTTTATCATAAAAGCTCTATTTACTTCTTTTTGTTTGGTTATTATGTCTGTTACCGACCGCATTCTGTATCTATGAAATCTGTATAACCCGAGCACGATCATTTTCTGAATATAGAGTGGGAAAAGTGGAGTTGTCATAAAGAATCGATTTTGTACGACAATTAACGTTCCCGTGGGCGTTATTTAAAACTACAAATTACAAGCTCGAATAAAATTTAACCTAACGACGTTAAGATATTATAGTAAAGTTGAGAAAAGTATTCGTCAAATTAGATGTGAGTTTAAGAACAATCGGCATGACGAACGTTCATTTTACGTATGATATCATATGGAGAGTTAACTATCGACAAATACGCGCAATGTATCACTAAGATAGAAGTGAAAACATTTACGTCGTACTTTATAACTAATTTTTTAAATGATTAAACTATTTTTGGAAGTAGTTAAGTTCTTGACAAAGAACAAAAGATAATGGAGCTTAATCAGAATCCATCTACATATTTTATTATATCGCCCAATGTCTAATAATTTTTCAATTGTGACAGTGAGCATAATTATAATTAATGTAAATGCAAAATATGATATGAGCTTTTATATGAGAAAATATCACTGCGAATGAATATAATGAACTAGGGGAGTTTAAAAAAACACCTAAGATGGTGACGTTTATACATGTACTAGAAAAACCTAAAAACATTATGATTTTTGAAATATTGTGTATAATACTTGCTTAATTACTTCCACATAATATTTTTACTAAACGAATTAATCCTAGATAATGGTCAATGTGTTTATTGCAGGTGATTCAGATTTCTGGTTAATAATCAATTTCTAATGCAGTAGAAGGAAGCAAAAGTGGCAGTAGAAAATACACTTTAGGACACAATTTTACACAACGTTCTCCAGTCTTAAACTAAGCAACTCTTGTACTATGGGTACTAGATAATTGATAAAAATTTAAGTATGTTTATCATATATCTAGTACCCATAGTACAAGAGTTGCTTTACTTTTCTTTTGTAAATAAGCACATATTATAAATATATTAAAAACCGCACACTGGACAAAACACAATGTTCATCACACAATATTTTTCTAGTAATGAGGATCAAACTCTTTTGCCAGGCCTACATGGCCAGTACGAGCCTGCCACTCTAGAACCTTTCTTCCCCAACGGTTATCGGTTCTACGAGCTATATGCCTATATGGCCGGCCCATCGCCACTTCAGCGTGCTAATCCTCTGAGCTATATCGGTTACCTTGGTTCTACTGCGGATGTCTTCGTTACAAACCCTATAACACAGGGAAATACCGAGCATAATCCGCTCCATAGCCGGCTGAGCTACTTTGAGCGTCCTCATACTGTGCAAATGTGCGGGAAGTCGGTGGATACGCGTGGCTCAGGATCGTACTTCGTGGCAGTCTACGGGGGAGGCCTACGTTTAGCAGTGGACTCAAACAGGCTGAAATGATGATGATGAGGATCAAACTCACACCCTCTGGCGCAAGAGGCAGGTTCACTTTCCACTACGTCAATATTAGATTGACTAAGAATATGTGAACGAAATTCACATCACTTCATGATTAAACACAAAACATTACGATCCTCGTGATACGATAGTTACAAGTAATAATTATAATAATATTGAAAAAAATACAAATGCAGCACAGGATAATTTAGTCAGGGAATAGGCCACATAAGAAATTGTTTTAATAGAAATAATTTACAAAGTATATAAAATACATGGATTGTATTTATAGTGTGCATATTATTTACACTAGTTTTATTACTGCACTTGCCTCAAGATCTCACCACACCAAAGGTTGACTAGCAGAGAATACATAAAGGCATTAAGTCCGACTATTGTGTTCCGAATTCAAGGAAATGCAATGAAGAATAAATAAAAATTATTTAAATATTATTATACAATTTATGGTTACTTTTATTTTTAGTATACAGCGTGTCTTTACAATCGCGACAATAAAAGAACACACATATAGAGGATAACTTTTTTAAATTGTATTACCTACATTTAAATCTTTAAACATCAATATTTACAGAGTTAATAATTTTCCAAAACAAAGAATTTTAGAACAGCCTTACGTATAAAACTGTAACGTAAAGTTCATTTGTAAAGGTCACAAAGCATATGAATGGGTTGAATGAATTTAAAAGAGACAAAACATAGTGTTAGAAGGAGAGGTTTGTAATGCGACGCTGTGGCGCGAGTTGTATGGGATGTTACAAATTTTGTTTCTTTTTTACTTAATTAGTTTGAATGAAAAATATTTTTTTTAATTATGTATTTTGTTTAACGTTAATATTTTTTTTATGATTATTGGCAAGAAGAGTTAGAGGTGTGTTCATTATTGTCGCGATGGTAGACACGCTGTATGTATGAACCTTCCTCATGAATCACTCTATCAAGTAAAAAAACCACATCAAGATCCGTTGCGTTTACTCACTTGCGTGAGTTTTAAAGATCTAAGCATGCATAGGGACTGACAGCGGAACGACTTTGTTTCATACTACACAACATCACTACAATGCACAGCAAAGAGACGTGTACATTTCAAGTGATATTTTACCACAGTCACTCACTTGTTATGCCTTCCCGGAACCCCAACAATTAAACAAAAAAACTGCACCTTTATTGAGGATCAATGCTATGAGCAATTGTTAGAACAAATAAAAAATGCATAGCAGAAGAAAAAAGTTCAGCCCGGGATTATTGATTTTTGAATTGAAAGTAGGGCAGGTCCGTCTGGGGAGGTACCACAACCCCGGATATGACCAGCGTGAAATGTTCTGCGTGTCGTCTGATAAGTGAGGTAGTCGAGGCCCCCTTTAATAAAAGGTGGCAACGCTTCTGCAACCGTACACAAGCTACCACTTAACATAAGGTGAACCACCAGCTCACTTGCTACCTTCTTATATAAAAAAATATATATAATTGAAGTCCAAAAACGTACATATGGTTTTTAAAAGTTTAAGTAGTTTTTAAAAGTCGCTGGTAATGAATGCTGATTATTTTAAGTACTGCATAACGTAATAATATCGGCCCTCACGTGAAGTGACCGAATGCTGAAGAAGCTTTCCATTCGATAAGGGAATATATAACTCGGCATGACGTATAACTAACTATGTCAAGTTATGCCAGCAAAAATGTTTTCTAAATAATAAAAAAATACATTCCAATTTAGAAAATATGCAGGCTTCCTCTTCCATGCAGGTAAGCCTTATATTTTTAAGCTTAGGCAATGGCGACCCATAAGGGATTCTTCAGTGGTAACAATAATACATTGTGGGATTTAGCCACAGTAGCACTTTGCCCTATTAAGAAAATGTAGATTTGTTGAATAAAGTCAACTGCAATCTCTCGGGACCTTGGAGCGCTGGGGAGCAGGGGTGTGAGGTGCGGGTAGCGGGGTGAAGAGGCATGGTCGCGGATGACGCGCGCCCTACTGACCCACTGGCACACTTACCCAGTGACAGTGGTACTGCTTTTGGTTCGGCGAGGTCGTTCGGTACGTCCTACGTTATATGTGGACATATATAAAAATACAATATTCATATAATCAATTCATTATACAGCCTAAAACGATATCTATGAAAAATCTATCGTAGATTACTTGGTAGTAGCAAAGACGTCCTATATTTCATAGTTGAGTCAGCGTAGTTTATATAAACACTAGCATTTAATTTTTTTACGTTGTTAAACTATTATTATTTTCGTGAGACCGAGAATCAGGGTGTTCTCGCTTAAAATTAATTAGACTCTTCATACTTATTTATTTCCTCACGCAATGTACTCGTATGTACTTAGTGGTTACAACGACAATGCTTGTCCTTTTCATTGTTACCACTAAATTATGTTATAAGAATAACTGAAAACACATTATAAAGATGCTATGATAAGAAAAAATTTAGCATATAAATAGAAATACTCTAGGGGCACGAAATGATACATGTTCCTTTGATTTCAAGGCTCTTTGTTCATTGCTTGGATATGAAAGGAAAATTTTGCATGGGTTTTAACCTTGCCGAATATTTGGATACAAATTTATTTTTAACGGAATGGGTTTGTTTATAGCGGTATAGAATCGGTACTTTGTGTTAGATACAACGGAATCGGCATTGATATAGCCGAAACTGAGTAATTATTTATATTCCGATTTTCATCACATCTATATAATGTAGGTAATATACTAGAATTATAGATTCAAAGGAAGGCTTTATTGGTTTGAATAGATACATATCTCAACACCGTGGGGGCTATATTATTTTTAGCAGGTATATATTTAGCAGGTTGGCTTTTTGTGGCGATCTCCAACCATGTCAGGTGGAATATTACAGTGAGCATTATTGGTAACGCTGCATCATATTTAAAACTAATATGCTAAATATATATTATCCGTGTATAGTATTAATATTGTAAAATTTATATTATATTAATACTTTTTCAGCAGTTGAATTATAATATTGTCCCTGTAGGTTTATTTTATCAGGAACGTATTAAATTAAACATAACAGCGCGCATTTAGCTGATGTAACATTTACGATTATTAATTCATTGAATTTAAAGTTGTGTGAATAAAGCTGCATTTAGCGTACAACAAATTTAAAACTGTTCTAGTTAAGAACCTAATTGACTCCTCTGAGCGCCGACCGTAATAAAATAGTGACGAAATTTAATCTCCATCCGACATTTACCGATGATTTATATTGAGTTTTTGTATTAAAAAACTATTTCAAAATACCGTAAAAATTAACTCAGCAAAACATTTGTAACTTTTTTGGTGCAATAAATTGGAATTAGTTTAACAGTTTTGTGCAATGCTTATAAAAAACGTATCAACTTAAATACCCGGTAAGAAGCTATACCTATAACCTAACAATAATAACGGTTTGATTAAATAGCATGGAATTTTAGATACATATCTTAAACTTGTTATTGGTTACCATAATAATAACGTGAAGTTGGTCGCTTTGAAACCAACTTCATGATGGCACTTTTTGGATGTCTTATTATTTTATCATTAATATTATTTTTATCTCAATGAAACTTGAATTGCAACATAGTTTATCAGCCGTAGTTTTTAAACTTCATTTATAAAAGAACATAATTGTATTTCAATTGTTTGTAGCTTCTGCTTAATTCACTGATACATAAGTACACATATATTTTATTTATAAATGTACGATTATACGAAAATAGAATACAAAAATGATACGAAAACCGAAAATCAGCTTAAAGATAAGAAATACGGATAAGACCATTAATAAATTTAATTTACATAAAATTCATGTATATATAAAACTAGCTTTCCGGGCAGACTTCGTGTAACTTAAGGGACAAAAAAAAATTAGCCGAATTGGTCCAACCATTCTTGAGTTATGCGCTTACTAACATTCGTTTTTATTTATTAAGAAGAAGATTAATGTATATAAGTTATAGAATATATACAAAGATGGGCGTTGGAAGACGGGCCACAGTAAAATTAGGACTTGATTGCTGCTTGTTTACTCAATAATTTCTCAATTATGATCATTTCCTCCAGGGTCTAACACGAAATTACTCGCTACGCCTCCGCTATACATTATTATAACTCAGGGATCTTGACCTTGCTGTTATGTTGGCAAGAAAAATTAATCTAATTTATGTAAGTGTATAAAAGCGTTTGTTCAGAAAGAAAATATAAAAATGAATGTATCAAAATTTGTCATTCTTCCTAATTCTCCAGATTGTTTTTTCCTTTTTTATAAATTACAGTGCTCCCTTTTAAGGGTTCCGTACCCAAAAGGTAAAACGGGACCCTATTACTAAGACTTCGCTGTCTGTCCGCCCGTTTGTCACCAGACTGTATCTCATGAACCATTATAGTTAGAATGTTGAAAGTTTTACAAATGACGTATTTCTGTTGTCGCTATATCAAGAAATACCTAAAAACTCAATGAAAAATATTTAAGTGGGGCTCCCATTCAACGGGCATAATTTTTTTTGCTGTTTTTATAGATAATGGTATGGAACCCTTCATGCGTGAGTCCGACTCGCACTTGGGCGGTTTTTTTAGTAGTGGTACGGCAGTACAGAATCGTTTCCAAGAACTCGGCGACCTCGACACAGTTTTTTCTGCAGAAAACTATCTTCATTTTCCTTTAATTATAAATTAGCTGCTATAATTTCCAACTGTGAATGATGTCGATCTTTGAATTTTTATTAATAATATTTTTTTTTTTACTTATAAAGAATACAAACTAGAGGTTGCCTAGTGGTCCATATGGTGGACGGGTCCGAATGGTGAAATTCGACCATAATTAATTATACATGGTAGTGTAAATTTCTTTATCGATGATTTTATTTAATGTATTTTTATGCAAAAAAATATTAGCATTCTAAACTCCTATATATAAACTATAAGTGTGGCAAATTTCATATTCCTGCGTCCACGTAATTTTCTTACAAAGGGGTATAAAGTTTTTGCTTCGCGTATTAACATTATTTATATAAATAATTATTTAAATACGACTTTGATGGTGTTAGAGCATAAATGTTTCGATTCCGTTGTTTGTAATGAATTCATCACCAGTTTAATTTTATAACGAGTAAACGAGTTTGAATTAAGGTCTCTATGACAAGGTTTGTTTGTCTATCTTTCTATCTATTGTAAGCTAGAATTTCCTTGTGGTGCTTCCCTTGCATTCAGTATCAATCGCTATTCAGAGGTCAGTTTCATGCCTTATTAATATCCGCGAAACCAATGGAACCTTAACAACGCTAATTGACCATTGTCTTAGCTTTTTAGATCATCAACGTCAAATACTTGTGATCGGACATTTATAAACCACTACTACAAACGACTTGAAAGTTTTAAAGAAATACCGTAGTTGCTGTCCATATAAGTATTAGGATCAGTACGTAGGGTTGGCAAAAATTTTTGAGAAAAAAAAAACTATCACATTTTTCAAGTAGAGAAAATTAAAGTATTTGAAAGAATGAAAAAAGTATTTTTCAAAATTTTCTTTTCCTGATTATAATTTTTTCTAGCTTCTAGAACTTCTTTACGGCTTTTCACTATACTTACATTTTGGATGCTATCTTTACATCCTCAATTTAAATAAAAAAGGAAATGTATTTTTTATTAAAATGAAAATTTGTGAAAACATATAGTAACTGATCCCACGAAGATTCTAGATTTAAAAATATATCAAACGACAAATTATCACATAAAGAAAAAAAGTAATATAATTTTCTATAAAAAAAAAAAAATTAAAATAAATAAAAAAACGTTCTGTTTCAGCTTAGAAGTATCGAAAAAAGTTCAGTTATTATCCATGTGGTACATACGACTACATTGTGTTTTATTTTATGCATCACAGTAAATATTGGAAATAGAAGATTTTTCACATACTTTATTTTTATTCAAAACCATAAAGTATATTTAAACGTTACGTTATTATAAATTATGGTTGGTAACGCTATTTGTACATAACAGGGTTCAATTATTTACTGAATCGTCTTGGACACACATATTACGCTGCATTTTTTAAAGGATATTTATGAATAGATTTCTTACTTAAAGTTCGAATAATGCGTTCTTAAATAACGACGTGTAAGTAGTGTGAGAACGAGAACTCCAAGAGTGGTTATTGCGTTTAGCGTGTGATCGATGCCTAGGGTATCAAAGGAAATGGGTCAAGTTCACGAAAACAGGTCAGGGGGACTTAAATAACTGGGGATTAAACGGTCGCCTCTGAACGGAAATATCCTCAATGAACGTGTCGCAACACCCGTCACGTACAGATGACGAACAAGCTGTTAAAAGAAATTTTCATTATTTGCAAACCGCCTTAGCCAGTGGCATTAATTTGAGAGGAGACGTATGTGTAATTTATTGTGGAAAAAAATGATAATCGCTAGATTTTTTATTTCGATCAGGTAATGTAGACAAATTATATTGCTGCTGCTAGTTAGCTTATGATAATCAATTATCTCCTCTCCGGCACACCTTATCCGGATCACGCGAGAAACTGGGTCGGATGGGTCAAGATCAAAACAGTAAAATGGGTCAACAGGAACCACACCGAGGCGCCCCCACCGGCCCCGCGAAGGGGTGCAAAATGTGGGGGAGGAGGGGGATCCGCGCCCTTATCCATCATCGCTTCTCTCCCGCTACGGGAGGTTATAAATCGGGAATAGATATTATCAGTTGCATCGATTTTGTATTATTACATAATTACTATAAAGTCCAATTTTATTTTAATTAATTATTTCATCGATATTCTTTCAAAATAGGCATTGTGTTGTTTCGACTTAAAACTGTATGATCTAATATGTGATTCAGCGTCCCGGTATTGTCAAATTTATATGATTAAGGTGACGCAATGGCACCGTGTACATTGTGTGGAGACATTTCGTTATATCTAATTATAGTGATATGTTCACACAAATTTACTGTCGATATCACAATAAGTGTTGTACCCTTGATGGGTACAGTTCTCAGTGCATCTTGCACTCACGTTTCCAATGCACACATGCAGCGTCGCGTATGCTATTTATATACTAATAAATTAGGTATTCATCCATATACAGCGACAAGTGTGTCAAGTTCGTTGAATCCAGGACAGAGGATAACAGAAGCAATGTTGACACTAACACAAGTAGGTTACGCAGATGTTTGTACCGTGTCACAGTAAGTGAGGCTCGCTTCGGTAAATATTAAAGACGAAAAGGGCCTCGGGTGTAATTTGTAAGAACCGCAATAGAATTGGAGACGCTTAATAGGACTAATTTATTATGTAATACGTATGAGCGGCGTTCGCAATCTGATTGCAACTAAGAATCGCGCTACAATTGTTTACGATCAGAGGTCACGGGAACTGAAACTTGTTTGTTTTAACTAGCGAGCGCCATTTAATGCATTCACAGAAGTTTTCGTGTTGAATACGACACAGATAGTTAATAAAAATAAACAACTTATAATTAGCGATGTTGAATGGAAGCGATAAACTATTTATTTTTCAATATAGTAGCCATAAGGTGAAAGGTGATTAGGACGTAATATTAAAACAACAACTAACATAATTATCTTCTTACTCGGTGATATCGAATTACGAAAGTTGTCTTGCAATAAGCACACCTGTGTTTAAATTTAACATAGTTATGATTTCTTATGTGTAACGAAACGAAGTTTGCTATGGAAAGGCAGTTTGAGCTAAAAAGGGAGCAATCATGCAAAATAATCTACTGGCTAAAATCGAATACTAAAGGCATTGTATACTTAAAATGGCCGATTTGTTACTTCAATATTAAATATGTTTTCGAATGTCCGATTCCGGACGTTTATTTATTGTACAAAGATTTTTACGGTAAACGGGGATAACTTTGAGCCATGGACGACCGCAGTCTAACGTTCGGTGTAACCACGATGCGGTGGCAACTCGAAAAGAGTGGCTCGATGCGAGCGAGCGCGTAAGTGGGTGAAGGTCGTGTGACGTGGCGGAGATAAGCTGGCGCTCGGCTTAGGTGCGCGCTGCGTGCGTTACTCGTAACAGTCAGCGGGTCACCGAAGCTATTCCACTCAAACCTTGATCCCGCGCGTGTGCGGTTCGAAACTCCGACAATTTTCAAAATATAATAAGCTACAATACAATATGTGAAATGTTTTCGGTTCGTGTGGTACTTTTGGGCTTTAAGATATAACGACGGTTCACCCATTTCACCTTTCGGGGGCTGGATGCGGTCCATTGGAATCGCTCACGACTTATATTGACTTATACTAAAGGCGTAACATTGAAACAGAAGGACAGATATACATAAACCATGTATATAATTTATAGCCTATGTGTTATTCTGATGTATAAGCTATATATTATTATAAATTTTCATTAAAATCCATTTAGTAATATTTGCGTGAAAGAGTAACAAACATCCATCCATACATACAACCTTTCGCCTTTATAATATTAGTAAGGGTATTATGAACTATTTCAAATTCAATTCGTTATGAGATATTTTCTGATATGTGAATGTTACGATTTAATACTAATTACAACAAGCATCGTACGCACAGTTACTTGTTTTGTATTTATATACACACCCACACATTTACTTTAAATTACTGCTTTCACTTTTATTTGTGCTCCAGTTATAAAATAAAAATGTATAAAATATATACTTTTACATCTTCTAACTAATTTTATCTTACATATACCTAATCCATTGCAGAAATAAAGCTGACGTAAACAATTTAAAATTTAATGCGATTAAATAGCTTCGAGGCAATCTGTGCCATGTTCAGCAGTGGACTTCAGCAGGGTGAAATGATGATGATAGCTTTGCTTATTAACACGATTTTTTATTAAATATATATATATATATATATATATATATATATATATATATATATATATATATATATATATATATATATATATATACATTTATATATTTATGTAGTATTATTATTTTTATTGAATAGTAAGTTTATTGATGTATTCCTCGCCTTCCGCGTAACACCCCTCGGGTGCCCACGGCCAAACGACGCCCATCTTAGGCTGGTGTGGTGTACATGCAAAAGGCCTGGCCTTAACAAATGAATGCATCGTATGCACTTCCAATTGAATGCTAATGACATAATAGTCGCCTTGTCACATTTAAATTCTATTTAATTTCATCACAAGTGATAAGTCGTCATTTGAAATGCTTTTCGTTAACAAACATAATGAAAATCCATTATGAAAAAACATAAATTCCATTCTTCGGAGATTAACATAGTATAAATTATATTGAACGGATCTTACATTCCGTTTTTATAGATTAAAAATATATCTGGCAAAGACAATCATTGATAGAGCCCCATATGCAGTAATCTTTCAGATATATAAGAAGTATTCTTTCAGATGTGTCGCAGAAGGGGACCGATAAAGCAACAAGAATCTCGGGGCAAAGTGATTCCAACCAATGCAATGTACTGCTGACCACATGACACGCCCTTTACTACCATAGAAAATATATGAGGCAGCAGTCTCGACTGTCGTCTCTATGTAGCATACTGATTTCACGTTTGATTCTAGAGCCCGGCTGGAAAACTAAACAAAAGCAGCACTGTATTACTATCTACAACTAGATTCGTATAATGGAGCGTGTTATGACACTGACTCGGTGGTCGTTCTCCTCGACCTAGTCTGCTGCTGAGCCATCTAAGGAGAGCTATCGAGAGCAGGGCCACCGATCTCTTAAGGGGACATAGTTGGATCTTTTTATTTTTATACAAGTACACATATAAAGCTTTTGTTATGCAACTAAATTATAGATTATGGATAATTTTAAAATACTTTAAATACTACTTGCAAAACGTAATTTCCATTTTTCTATCTATCGTGCAGTATGTATCTATTAAACTCTTTATGATGATCCTTGATTGCTTTAAGACAATAATACTTCTAAACGTGGATTGGTTCTCAGTTAAACTAATAAGCCGACCTTCACCCCCCTAAAAACTGATTTTTGAACACGAATAATAATTCAAACACACGAAAACTACAACAAGTATCGTTCGTTGCGACAGCCCGAATCGAATTAATTACCTCGCAACCGAGCGTAGTATTAAAAAACGGTTTGCGCAACAGCCGATCCGCACCTTGACACAGATAGTACTCAAACTGTCGTTTTGAATACACAAAAACCGGACGCTGCCTTCACTATTTTAAAACGAATTTTCTGGAACTTCATGTTGCTGTTTAACGTACTTATTTCATTTGTGTTCATAATTAAAACATTAGTGACTAAAGTAATGCTGCGTCGCTAAGACGAAACTAGTTCGATATTTTAAAATTAAATAAATTGGTTAATTTATGTTATTACTTTTTCTTAATGAAATAAATTTTTAACATTTTCATTGTGTAATTTATAATAAATAAGATTGTGATTATTGATGATAAAAATTTTACTCTTTTTTTGTAGAGAATAACAAAGAAATCACTACCTTAGACATATATTTTCACCTTGTTTGCTTGTAGCTACTTAAAATTACATCAGCTACAATACCCTGAACATTATCATCGTTTGTATGGAATAGTTTACATACAGTATACCCCCGCAGTATCCCAACATGCCTGTAACGGTATATAATGTTTAAAAAAATGCACTTAATATTTAAGAAAATAGTTTATATTTGTCAATTGCCTAGTAGAATTAGTAATATCACGAGTATGATGGTCAGTCGTTACTACGGTTAGTATAAACATTCATGACCTTCATGCAGAGTCCATTCATTCATTTTTGAATATGCATAAAATAAACTGTATATTATAATTAATGCGTGCTTCAACCAACTTTTACTTCTGACGAGACTGAGACCTTACTCTCGCGTTTAACCAATAAAAAACAAACAAAATTGATCAACAATTATTGTATCCATTATAAGTATATGTATTTGTTTATCCATTTTTAAATTATGATCATACTAGGTATACTCTTTTATGTTGGTGGTAGAGCGTAAGCGGCATAACTTTATGGTAAAACTGTATAGTAAAAATGTTAAATGTATTGAGCTTAATAATTTAGTGGATCTCTTATATTTTCTTACTGGGAGTATTTGATTTGTCTGAAAAATTGGATGATACGACGCAGACTTTGAAAATTTTTGTCGGCTAGAGTTGACAACTTTTTTAAAATAAAACAGTATTATTTTTACTAGGTTATAAAAACATGGTAGTTTTAGGAAATTTATTGCTCTCCATCGTCATTATTTATTTTCTACATTAAGGAAAATTTTTACTGTAACTCCATCTCCACTCCTTACTTCCGTACATAGCGTAAATCATTTACGTAATATCTTAAATCACAATTCGAAACTGTCCTATACCGAGAAGGGGCAAAGATTTCTTCAATTCTCCGTCAGTGATCTTCTACCGTCAATATGCTCCAAAGAAATAACCCACTGGAATTAAACCAACAAAAGCAGTGAAATATTCCTTTAGTGCAGAGAGTCCGTAACAGAATCATTGAAGCTTTTATGTTTTTATTTTTTAAGAAAATAGGCAATTTTACAAAATCTTAAAAAATCAAGCAGCATTCGTCGATAAATTGATAATGACAGAAAGTTGACGTTAGTAGCTAGAAGTAACATTTGTGAAAAACAACAGTTCAAGGTCATTAATAATTTAGTTGTGAAACCCTCCA